CCTCCACCTCCTGGGTTCAAGCGATTCTCCTGCGTCAATCTCTCGAGTAGCTGGGATTACAGGCATGAGCCACCACACTCAGCTAATTTTTGTATTTTTAGTAGAGATGGGGTTTCACTATGTTGGACCAGGATGGTCTTGATCTGACCTCGTGATCCACCCACCTCGACCTCCCAAAGTGCTGGGATTACAGGTGTGAGCCACCGCGCCCAGCCTTTTTTTTCCTTCATACTTCTCTGTAGTTTAAAAAATGAATTTTTGCTTAAAGAATTTTTTTTGATGGGCTTTGGACTATAGCCTAACATTAAATATTGTTTCTGCCTGTTCCCCAGCCATGTGACTTTGGCCAGGTCACTTCACCTTTCAGAGCCTCAGTTTTCTTGTCTGCAAAATGGGTGTGGTAATACCTTCTTCCCAGGTTATAAGAACCTGGTAGCAGCTCTTACTACAGCAATTTCAGTGTATTCATAGGCCGGGCATGGTGGCTCATGCCTGTAATCCCAGCACTTTGGGAGGCCAAGGTGGGCGGATCACTTTAGGTCAGGAGTTCGAGACCAGGCTGGCCAACATGGTGAAACCCCATCTCTACTAAAAACACAAAAATTAGCCACACGTGGTGGTGTATACCTGTAATCCCAGTACTTGGGAGGCTGAGGTAGGAGAATTGCTTAAACCTGGGAGGTGGAGGTTGCCGTGAGCCGAGATTCCACCAGTGCACTCCAGCCTGGGCAACAGAGCAAGACTCCATCTCAAAAAAAAAAGCATATTCATAGATAGTATCTGTTGATTGAGAATATAGAACAACAGTAACCCCAGAGTGAAGGAGAAAGCAGTTGGCTTTGGGGTTATAAGCAAGATGCTGGCCGGATGCTGCCCTTCTTCCACAAGGGCTCATTCTCTGTGTCTGTCAAAGGTGGCTGACTGCATCTGCCTGATGGCCCTAGACAAGCCCCAGGCTGTGCCCGTGGATGTCCATATATGGCAGATTGCCCAACGTGACTACAGCTGGCACCCTACCACGTCCCAGGCGAAGGGACCAAGCCCCCAGAGCAACAAGGAACTGGGTGAGGAAAGTGGGCTGCAGGGGCTGGCAGTGGGCTGGTATGGTAGAAACCTCTCTCTCTCTTAGTCATCTCTCCTTCATACCCTACCTCTCTTGATGGGTCACAGAAGGGGTCAGATAACTTAGTCTCATCACTTCTGATTTAGGAAACTTTTTCCGGAGCCTGTGGGGACCTTATGCTGGCTGGGCCCAAGCGGTGAGTGTACCTACTAGGTTTCCTCTCCTCCAGCTCAGACCCCATAGGACTTCTCCTCCAGCCCTGACCCAGCAGACTCTTCCACCACCACTGCCCCAGGTGGCCCTAAAGGATTCTCCAGCCACCCCTGTCCCAACCCCAGTGGACTCTCATGGCCTTCGGCCCTGTTCCCCAAGGACTCTTCCACCTCCCAGCACTGTCACTAGTCCCACCAGCCCTGACCCCAGTGTACCCTCCTCCCCACACCGACTCCACCCTCATACAGGTGCTGTTCAGTGCTGACCTGCACCAATCCCACCGTGCTCAGGAGCCACCAGCAAAGCGCAGAAAGGGTTCCAAAGGGCTGGAAGTCTAGATGGGGCACCCTGGACAAAGGAATTCCCCCAAGCCCCTTCCCCTCCATTCCCCACTTCTCTCTCCCCATCCCCACCCAGTCTCATGTTGGGGAGGGGCCTCCCTGTGACCACCTCAAGGGCCAGGCACCCCCAAATCAAGCAGTCAATTTGCACAACAAGGTGGGCTGGGGGCTATTGGGAGAGACAGCGCTAAGGATGGTTTTATCTTCTTCCCTTTATTACAAGAAGGAACAATAAAATAGAAATATTTGTATGGAAAATGCAGTGAGGAGTGGTAGGGAAGCAGGTGAGGAGGGGACAGGGCAGAGAAACTCCCAGTTCAGGGAGGGAAGGGGAGCAGGCTGCCCCCAAGCCCTCCCACGCAGGGGATCCTGACCCGAGGTCCAGGGCCCTAGAGCTGGTGGGGCAGTGTAGGGGACAGTTCTGGGCCCGGCTCCACGCAGCAGTCTCGACAGCAACAGCCAGTTGCCGGCCCTGCATGGGAAGAGAGAACAGAGCTGGCTGGAGGGGCAGGCCCTCCACTCCAGCCCAGGTGCCTCTCTGTGGACCACCCATGCCCTTCTGCAGAATCTGCTCCTCACCCCCAGCCACTGGTGTCAGCAGCTCCCCGTGGCTCGCCGTCTGCCCCTGCCCCTCCTGGCTGGTGCCTAGCTGCAGTTTCCTCATGTGCCGCACCACAGCTGTGGCATTGAAGGCTTGCTGTAGGGAGAGGGGAGAAAGGACTTTTGAGATAGTCAAGTCATGGGGCAGGGGTGGAGGTGCAGTGGGATTCTTGGCAATTGTTCTGTTATTTTCATTCAGGAGTTATTTTATTGATTCCCCTAAAGGCCCCCAAAAACCTCTACAAGGCTTTATTATATATTCACACACACACATGCACGTATGTTAAATGTATGTGTGTATATATATAAATAGAAACATAACTCTATAATTCATATTAATATGTAATAGCAAACACTGTAGCACTGTATGCCAGGTACTGCTCTAAGCACTTTACATAGTAATTCATTTAATCTTCATGAAAGTCTTTGAGGTAGGTACTATTAATATAATTTTCAAAGGAGGAAACAGAGGCACAGAAAGCTGAAGTAACTTGCCTAGGTGTGTACCTATTCAACATCTCCACCTAGGTGTCCCACACACCCCTCAAATTCACCATGTCCAAAACTAAAACCATCCCCACAAAACATGTTTCTGTCCCTGTGATCACCATCTCAGTCATGGTACCGCCACCGTCCACTCTGTTCCCAGCTACAATCTTGGGCCAGCCCTTGACATCTCTTTCCCCCAACATTCATTGCATCATCATGTCTTAGTTTCACCTCCTAAATGACTCCTGGATCAACCACTGTTCTCTACCCCTGTTGATACTACTGTGGTCCAAACCCTTACCCTCTTCTGCCTGTATCTCTGCCACAGCCTCCTAATGGGTCACCCAGTCTTTACTCCATGCCATTCTCTGCATCCTGAGAGCTCTTTATTTTTTTTGAGGTGGAGTCTCACTTTGTCACCCAGGCTGGAGTGCAGTGGCACGATCTCAGCTCACTGCAATCCCCATCTCCGAGGTTCAAGTAATTCTCCTACCTCAGTGCCCCGAGTAGCTGGGATTACAGGCACACACCACCATGTGTGGCTAATTCTTGTATTTTTAGTAGAGACAGGGTTTTGCCATGTTGGCCAGGCTGGTCTTGAACTCCCGACCTCAGGTGATCCGACCACCTCGGCCTCCCAGAGTGCTGGGATTACAGGTGTGAGCCACCATGCCTGGCCCTGAGAGCCCTTTCTATGTAGCAGATGCTTGCCTAAGATTCTTCTGGGCCTCCTCAGTGCCCTCAGGATCAAGTTGGTGCTCCTCTGTGGAATCCGAGGCCCTAAGAGGCCTGGCCCCTACCTGCTTTCCCAAATTGGGCTCCTGCCTCTCAGTCCCCTCAGCCCCTTCAGTCTGGCCAGGCTTAGCACTTGCACTTCCCAGAATGGCTGTAGACATTTTTCTGCTATGCCTCGCTAATTCCTACTTAACTGACAGCTCTGTCAAGTCATCACCACCTTTATGACCTTTCCCGGACCCCCATAGGCTGGATCAGATGACTCCTGAAGAATTATAGACTTCTCCCTCTAGACTTGGAGGTGAGGGACCCTCTCTGGAATAGAGAAGGTGTTGGGAGTGTTGAATGAATGAATGAAGTCCTTCAGTAAGGATCCCTAAGAAGTTACTGTGTGCCCAACTTGGTGCTAGGTGCTGTGCGAGCTGAGCCTGGGTAGGGATGGGGAGGAGTCCTGGGGAGGCTGGGACCAGAACTAGGGATATGGACTCACCTTCCACTTGCTCTTGGCAAAGTTCTTCTTGATCTGCTCACTCACCGACTGGTGGATATTCTTATCTAGAGCCGTATCTCCTGCAATCCTAGGATGGGGTTATGTGGTGGGTTGCCTATGAGGGCAGAGGCAGACCTGAGGGCCCCAAATCCCACCCCACCTCACAGCTTGTGTGAATTCTCACCATGGGTGCTGCAAGGCCTGCTCACAGGTGAATCTTTTCTCTGGGTCCTTCTCCATCAAGTGCCGGATGAAATCTTTGGCTAAACCCCCAAGACAAAAGTAAAGATAATGACAGCATGGTAGTGCCTGTGTACTCCCCAAGAGCGTATGCACTCCCTTAGGTCTGACCCAGCATCAAAACAAAACAAAGAGGCCAAATCAGTCCATGCCGCACCCCACCCAACCTGTGCTCTTCTTCAGACCCTCCCACCCCATGCCTTCCAGCTCTTTCCTGTCTCTCTCAAGAAAAACATGAGGCCGGGCACAGTGGCTCGTGCCTGTAATCCCAGCATTTTGGGAGGCCGAGGCAGGTGGATCACGAGGTCAGGAGTTCAAGAGCAGCCTGGCTGAGATGGTGAAACCTCGTTTCTACTAAAAATACAAAAAAATTAGCCAGGCATGGTGGTGGGTGCCTGTAATCCCAGCTACTTGGGAGGCTGAGGCAGGAGAATCCCTTGAACCTGGGAGGCAGAGGTTGCAGTGAGCCGAGATTGTGCCACTGCACTCCAGCCTGGGCAACAAAGCGAGACTGCATCTCAAAAAAAAAAAGAAAAAGTTGTTCTTGACTAATTTCAGTGCATTCACACTGATAAATGATAGTAGCTTCACAGGTTTGCTTCTTAATAGGGGGCACAAAAGGAGGATGAAAATGTTTATGGTGGTATTTTAGACATCAGGAAGTCAATAGGGAAGAGGTATTTTCAAATAGACTGTGTCTGAAGATTGAACAAATGCCTAGTTTCTCACTCTGGGAGCCAAGCAGAAGGAAGTATCCAGGGTAGGGTGTCTGGTCTTGAAGACAGCTTAGTGTGGCACTGGAGAATCCGACAGAAGGAAGGCAGGAGGGAGACCGCCCCCAAAGCAGGTGAGGGAGGGACCAGAGGTGGGGCCCAGGGGAAAAAGGCAAAGCCCCAAATACCGGATTCAGAGATGTCGTCCCAGTAAGGAGAGTCAAACTCGTACTCGGCCTTCAAAATCTGTTCAAAGAGTTTGGCATCATTCTCATCATAGAAGGGGGGATAACCGCAGAGCCTGGGCAGGGAGAAACTTATCCTCATTTCCACTTTCAGGTGCACCCATTGACTCCGGGGTGGAGCACTGGGGTAGTCTCAGGGGTCAGGCAGGACCCACGGAAGGAGTTCCCCCTTTATAAACTCTACCAGCCCTGTCTGCTCACTCCCATTCTAGCTATGTTGTCCTTTCTGTTCCTTGAATGTACCGCCATCTTGCCCTCCTCAGGGCCTTTGCACTTGCCATTGCCTCTGCCTATGCTACTCTTTCCTCACACCTCCAATGTCTGGCTCCCTTAGCACTTGGACATCCCCTCCACAGCGAGCCCTTCCCTGACCTCCCTACTGAAATGGCATCACCCCTGTCTCCCTATTCCTCCTTGGTTTTTCTCCACAGTATGTATTTTTATCACCTGATGTTATTTTGTAGATTTATTTACTTGTTGATTGTCTTCTCTACTAGAAAGAAAGTCAGCTCCCTGAGGGCAGGCACTTTGTCTGGTTTGTTCTGTGCTAAATTTACTCCAATGCTTGCTTGGCACAGTGCTTGAAACATAGTATCTATTGAATGAAGTAATATTCATAATTGATTGGTGGAAGGAAGGGAAGAAGGGAAGAGAAGAAGGGAAGGGAAGCAGAGGGAGGAAGAGAGGAAAGCAGGCCAGAGGACAAACTCTGGAGCCATAGCCTACCATGGCCAAGCCCCACTTACAGGATGTAGGCGATGACACCTATGGACCAGCAATCCACAGCCTTGCTGTAGGGCTTTTGGGCCAGGACCTCAGGGGCTGTGGAGGGAAGAGGACATGGTGGTGACAAATCTCTGCCCTTCAGCTCCTGGTTCCCCCCACCATCACAGCCCCAGCCCAGGGCCCTCCGCACCCACGTATCCCGGAGTTCCGCAGGCGGTGGAGAGCACACTGCCCGGGTCCTCCATCTTGGAGAGGCCAAAGTCGGAGATCATTATTTTGGAGTCTTCATCCAGGCTGTAGTATAGCAGATTCTCTGGCTTGAAGAGCAGGAGGGAAGGGAAGGGGCAATCAGAGATGGTTAGAGGCTAGTAGAACCTTCTGCCTCTCCAAGCACCTTCTGAGAAATAATGGATCCCCCAAAAGCCACTGTGGCTTCATGGCTGCCATAAGAAAATCAAGAAAGTTCTCAAGAAGGCCAAAAATTCCAGGAAGGACAAGGCCCAAGAGGGTGTGGGAGGCAACTTTCTGTAAACCTCAGGTGTGCACTGTAAAGCCCTAAAGAAATGTTTGAATACCTACTTTATACCAGACCCTGGATTAGTGCTTGATTTCACGTCATCCTCACTGCATCCCTGCTAGGCCAGTCTGAATAATCCCACCTAACAGATGAGGAAACTGATGCCTTTGGAGGCAAAGTGACTCACCCAAGAACCCACAGTTAGGGAGTAGCAGGGCCAGAATTCAAAGCCAGGCATGTGCCCTTCTCTTAGACCGGATTGAGATGTACTGCTAAATGTGAGCCCCATCGCTATTTCTGAGGAACAGGATTTCAGGGATTTCTGGCTTTTTTCTTTATGTTTTGCTGTCCCATCCAAGTTTTCTACAAAAGGGGAATAGGATTTTTCGTTTTTTTTTTTTTTAATTTTTTTTATTTTTTGAGATGGAGTCTCGCTCTGTCGCCCAGGCTGGAGTGCAATGGCACAGTCTCAGTTTATGCAACCTCCACCTCCTGGGTTCAAGTGATTCTCCTGCCTCAGCCTACCTAGTAGCTGGGATGGCACCCGCCACCACGCCGGGCTAATTTTTGTATTTTTGGCAGAGACAGGGTTTTGCCAGGCTGGTCTCAAACTCCTGACCTCAGGTGATCCGCCCGTCTCTGCCTCCTGAAGTGCTGGGATTACAGGCGTGAGCCACCATGCCTGGTCAGATTTTTTTTTTTTAAATCAGAAAAATACATAAAATGTTATTTGGATAAAATGCCAGCACAATTCACTCGTGTTCTTTTGAGTATCTGGACTAGAATAGGAGGAGGCAGTTTAAGGGTTACAAGATCCACTTTGTAGATGGAAATCCAAGGCTCAGTGAGGGGGTGAAAGTTGCCCAAGGTCGGACAGTTTGGGGTTTGCAAAGGCCCCACCCTTGGGTACCCCAGCTCACCACACCCCCTCGAGCCCCACCTTGAGATCCCGGTGTACAATGCCCAGGTCATGTAGGTATTTCACAGCATCCAGCACCTGGAAGATGAGGCGGCTGGCGTCCCGCTCCGTGTAGAAGCCTTTTTCCACAATACGGTCAAAGAGCTCCCCACCCGACACCCTGCAGCAGGGGATAGGGCAGTCTGGCAAAGAGGGTTGGGACAGCAGGGAGAGGTGTGTGGGGGTGGGCAGAGGTGGGGCCACTCACAGCTGCATGATGAGGTAGAGATGGCCCCCACTCTCATAGATGTCATCCAGGGCTACAATGTTGGGGTGCTTGATCCTGAAAGGAGAAATGAGGTGGTTTAGCCAGGCATGGCGGTGTGCACCTGTAGTCCAGGCTACTTAAACTTGGGAGGCTGAGGCAGGAGGATCACTTGGCCCCAGCAGTTCGAAGCTGCAGTCTGTTATGATTGCACCTGTGAATAGCCACTGCACTCCAGCCTAGACAACAGAGTAACACCCTGTCTCAAAAGAAAAAAAAAAAAAGCAGTGGTTTAGAGCTCAGGACAGCTACCCCTGACCAAGTGCCTGCAAACCTGGGTAGGACAAACCAAGGATGTAGGCCCCAAAGGGAAAAGCTGGCTTACCATGGTTTATTACTATTTCTTGGAAGGTGAGAGAGCAGAGGGATAAACACTGGGCTCTGGCATACACAGACCTGGGTCCAAATCCTGTCCCTGTCACATGCTATATGGATGCTGATCTTTTTACCAGTGAGCCACTGCACCCAGCCTGATACATGCCTGTTAAGAGTTTTCTGACTGGGCACGGAGGCCCACACCTGTAATCCCAGCACTTTGCATGGCTGAGGCAGGTGGATCACTTGAGGTCAGGAGTTTGAGACCAGCCTGGCCAACATGGTGAAACCCCATCTCTACTAAAAATACAAAAATTAGCTGGGCACGGTGGCACGTGCCTGTAATCCTAGCTACTTGTGAGGCTGAGGCAGAATTGCTTAAACCTGGGAAACTGAGGTTGTGGTGAGCCGAGATCATGCCATTGCACTCCAGCCTGGGCAACAAGAGCAAAACTCCATCTCAAAACAATGAAAAATAAAATAACTTTCTGTGTTTACATGTTTGTCAGCCTCCCCTACCAGACATACGCTCCCCGAATCCAGAGGCTTTGTCTTGCATGCCACTGTTCTCCAGCACCTGGTACAGGGTAGGTGCTAGATTTAATGTAACCTCTCTGAGCCTCAGTTTCTTCATCTATAAAATAAAGCAAATGGTAGTACTTCCCTCAAAGAGTTGGAGTGAGGATCATGTGAGATCATGCAAGTAGGTGCTTGGCACAGCGCGTGGCACACAGTAAATACTCATAAGTGGGCCGGGCGCAGTGGCTAACGCCTGTAATCCTGGCACTTTGGGAGGCTGAGGCAGGTGGATCACGAGGTCAGGAGATCAAGACCATCCTAGTGAACACAGTGAAACCCCGTCTCTACTAAAAATACAAAAATATTAGCCGGGCATAGTGGTGGGCGCCTGTACTCCCAGCTACTCGGGAAGCTGAGGCAGGAGAATGGTGTGAACCCGGGAGGCGGAGCTTGCAGTGAGCAGAGATTACGCCACTGCACTCCAGCCTGGGTGACAGAACAAGACTGTCTCAAAAAAAAAATCAAAAAACAAAAAACTCGTAAGTGAAACAGTAATGGTAATTGATTTTTTTCTTTTGTTTTTTGTTTTTTGTTTTTGAGACGGAGTTTTACTCTTGTAGCCCAGCTGGAGTGTTGCCCAGGCTGGAGTGCAACGGCATGATCTTGGCTCATCACAACTTCTGCCTCCTGGGTTCAAGGGATTCTTCTTAGCCTCTCAAGTAGCTGGGATTACAGGCATGCACCACCATGCCTGGCTAATTTTGTATTTTTAGTAGAGACGTAGTTTCTCCATGTTGGTCAGGCTGATCTGGAACTCCTCACCTCAGGCAATCCACCCGCTTCAGCCTCGCAAAGTGCTGGGATTACAGGCTGAGCCACCGCACCTGGCCTTTTTTTTTTTTTGAGCCAGAGGTTTGCTCTTGTTGTCCAGGCAGAAGTGCAATGAGTGGCGTGATCTCGGCTCACCGCAACCTCCACCTCTTATATTTAAGCAATTCTGCTGCCTCAGCCTCCCAAGTAGCTGGGATTACAGGCATGTGCCACCACGCCCAGCTGATTTTGTATTTTTAGTAGAGACAGGGTTTCTCCTTGTTGGTCAGACGATAATTGATCTTGATGATGAAGTAAGTTTAGCTCTGCTACAAACCTTCCATGTGACCGTATACAAATCCCTTGTCTTCTCTGGGTCTCAGTAGAAATGCTCTGCCCAGGAGTTGGGTGCGGTGGCTCATGCCTAGCACTTTGGGAGGCCGAGGCAGGTGGATCACCTGAGGTCAGGAGTTCGAGACCAGCCTGGCCAACATAGCGAAACCCCATCTCTACTAAAAATACAAAAATTGGCCGGGCGTGGTGGCAGGTGCCTGTAATCCCAGCTACTAGGGAGGCTGAGGCAAGACAATAGCTTGAACCCAAGAGGCAGAGATTGCAGTGAGCCAAGATTTTGTCACTGCATTCCAGCTGGGGCAACAGAGTGAGACTCCATCTCAAAAAAAAAACCCATTATCTGCCCAGGGTGGTTGGAAGCTCAGGGGAGAGATTAGCAGTGATTCTCTGCAAGTTTTCCAGTGAGGACAGGAGGTTTCATACCAGCATGAGCAATTCATAGACCAGCTGGTTGTGGATTTAGTCAGGGGGTCAGCAGAGAGTCATTTTTAAACTTGCTGAGTGGCTTTAATATGTTAGGGGAACTTGAGGTAGGTCCAGAGACAACACCAACTGAGATATGTGGGTCCAAGTCATGTTCAGGATGGATCTTTACACCTGATTGAACAGTTAAATCCCTGTTACTAAGCCCTGGCATCTCCATCACATCTGTTGTGTTAGCTGTTGTGCCAGGCACTTGAAATAAAGGACTTCTGATGTTCCCCCACAACCCTGCCAAGTGGAAACTGTGATCCCCATTTTATGAATGAGCAATTTAAGGCTTAGAGAGTTTAAATGTTTGGTCCAAAGCAGGGAAGGAGGAGGATGGGAGGGCCAAGGCAGGGTCAGCTTGGGGCAGGGAAAGGCTGTGGCCCACGCACTTGTGCAGGACAGCAATCTCATTCTCCATGCTGCCTTCCTTGCCCTCCAGGGCCTTCTTGGCAATGCATTTGATGGCCACCAGCTTCTGCGTCCTTTTATCTTCTGCCAGGATCACCTCCGAGAAGGCCCCCCTATGGGGAGAGGGGATTCATAAGGTGAAGAACTGGAACCCCAGCTTCCCTCCAGCCTCTCCTCCATTCCCTATGGGTTCTGTGACCACTGCTGGACCAGGGATGTGGATGACCCTCTCCTAGTCACTCATCTATCCCCTGGCTCCAGAGATGGTCACATGACCCAGGCCTGGCCAAAGTAGTCTCTCCCCTGGTCACAGTAATTGGTCATGTGATGCAAGCCAGATTCCTAGCACTTTAAGAATGAGGCTGCTGCTGAGCTGGTAGGATGTAAGCCTGGAGCTAATGACGATCATCTTTGTCACCACTTGGGGACAGCCTGCTTGGGAATGAAATTAACACAAAGGAAGTCCAACCTGAGAAATGGCCAAAGTCATTTCATGATAACATTATGTGGCCCTCTGGATCCAGCCATGCCTGAAGTCTACCTCTGAGCTTTTTGATTTCGTGTGCAGTTGGTTCATCCCTTTTTCTGCTAATTTGAGTCATGGCTAATTTAACACCTTAAAGAACCATCAGCATTACCTGGGAACTTTTTTAGAAATGCAAAATCTCTACTGCTTTGGATCCTAGGTCAAAAAAAAGAAATGAAATGCAAAACTTTAGGCCCTGCCCCAGATTTACTAAATCAGAATCTGCAGTTTAACAAAATCTCAGGTGATTTGTATGCTCATTGAACTTTAAGAAGCAGTGCTTTAGAACAAGCTCTTAAAAAGGAACAAATAAACTCATTTAACTAAAGTTAACTGATTAAGGAGGATTTACTAGGGTATTGTTTCCACATCTGTTTGCTTTCTCTGGGAGAATAAGTCGTAAGTCAAAGAAAGGCATCTCCCATGGTGAAATTTCAATCCTCAGGGATAGTTACTGTAGTAACCTCATCACTGGTTTCCAGTCCTGTCCCTCTCCAGTTTACCCTCCAAGCTGTGGCCAGAGTGACTGTCCTGAATTGCACACCTGCCAAAGTCTTAAGTGTCTCCCGGTGGCCTGTGGAACAATATCTAGCCTCCCTGACCTGCCTTCCAAGACCCTACACAAACTGTTCCACTTTCATCTCCAGCCTTTTTTCCCACTCTTCCCCAGCCTCTGATTTTAAGCTCCACCACACTCTGCCTCTTTCCACATAGAACCATGCCTCTAAACCTTTGTTTATAGGATTCCTTCTGCCTGGAATGCCCTTCTTCCTCTCTCACAAGTGCACACCTACCCATCCTTCAGTCCCCAGCTCTAATGCCCCATTCTCCACGAAGTTTCCCCCCAGGCAGAAGGCACAGCTCTCTCTGGGCTCCACAAAGCCCTCAATCCCAACCTTAATTGGAGCACAGCACACACCCTGTTGTCATTTTCTGTGGGTCTGTCTCTTGCACATGTCTGGGATCAACTTGAAGGACAGAGACCAGGTTTGAGTTATTTCTGCATTCCCAGCACCAAGAACAGAGCCATCCCCAGCCTCAGTTCCCAAACCTAGGCCAGAACACCTAGCTCTTGGCAGCAAGTTAGATGGACTGACTGGCACCTTCATTCTCCCAACTTCTTTCTCTTCAAGAACCCAGGGCTATTGGAAGAGCAGCCCCTGTCCCACCCAGAAGTGAAAAGCTGGGGACAGTTTAGGCCCTAGATAGTGCTGCCACAGGGCCTGGGCTATGGGAAACAGGAAGCATTAATTGACCAGACGAAGCACCACCCTGGACTCGGCCTCCCCCAGCCATCCAGCACCCAATCCTGCCCTGGACTCACGTGCCCAGAACATCTCGGAAGTCGTAAATGTCCCTAATGTCCTCTGCCTGCTTCCACCTGGGGCCTTCCACTGCCCCCGGCATGGCCCACTGCCCCCCGGCCACAGCCAGGGCTCCTGCAAGGAGAATGGAAGGAGGGGACTCAGCAGAGCCCAGCCTTCTGTCTGGGAATTTGCTACAGGCCTCATTCAGTCATTCAACCTGCATTTATTTATCCTTGATTCATCCATTTGACAAAATCATTCAACAAACATTCATTTGTTTATTCAACATTCGGCAAATTCTCGTGCCTAGAGAAAAACCTTTCACAGTGGCAGCAAAATTCTTTATTTAACAAAGTCTTGCATTCATTCATTCATTCATTTATTCTAGTTCACTTCCCAGTTTTCCCCCTCTCCAAATCCAAGCACCCAGGGAAACCCTGACCTCTGGCAGTACAACAGATAAACCACCAGAGCAGCTGGTAGAGGCCTGGAGGATCCCCCTGTCCGCAGAACTAGTGATGTCCCCACCCCACCCTGGGGATTGCTGGGGTGTCTCCTCTCCCTCCTCCTCCCCATCCCCACCCCAACCGGCCCGCAGCCTGGGCTTCCAGCAATATCTCAGCCACATTTTTAAATAGCTCTTTCTGCACTGTTCCCACAGCAACAACAGCCACAGCTGGAGCTCCCCAGACCTCTCCCTCCTGACTCCCCATCTGGGTCCCAGGAGCCTGAGAAATGGTCCTACTCACTCTGTCCCTTCCTGGCCCCATCTAACCCTATCCAGCCTGGCCCTTCCCCTGCTGAGGTCTGTCTCATCCAGCAGGAGAGGGTGGGAGTTCTCTCCCATTTATCAGATGAAGAATGGGGAGACTGAGGTTGGAGTTAGGTAGAGGCTGGCTCCAGAGGCCCAAATGACACCTGGCCTGGGACCCCCAGCTAAGCTTGCTGAGGGCAAAGCCCATGGAATGGCCTTGGCTGGTACTTCCAATATGAAGCCAGAATGGGCCCCATTCAAAAAACACAGCCTCCCAACCCATCCACAGAGGATGAGGCCAAAATAGAGCCTAGCATGCTTTGTGACCTCAGGGAGAGGACTTTCCTTCTCTCTTTTTCTCTAAGGGAGAATGAGGAGAGGTGCCCTGACTAGGGCCTCTGACGTGAGATTCCACTCCTGGAACAGATCCTTTTTCCCAGGGGACCGTGCCCACCCATCCCAGGGGCAGAATCTTCTAGGAAAGGCGACTTGAGCTCTAGAGGCAAAGTCTGAAACCCACATGGAGGCCTACCAAATACAACCGTCAGAGATCCACACACATCCCTGTAGCAGACACGCCACACCAAGCCAACTCCACAGCCCTGGACTCAAAAACACCTGCCTCCCAGATCCAGTATGCCTCGTATCCGGATCCTGGGACACCTGATCATACATGTACTCCCAGACATCAGCACACATGTCCACACCACACAGTGCCCCAGACAGCCCTACACCCGGGCACCTGCCTGTCCATCCAAACATCTCTCACCCAGCTCCCTCTTACACCCCAAAACACACATCCACCCACACCCACACAAGATGACACCTAGACACACACACACCCTCATATACCAGACGTACCCTACACCCTCCAGCTCCTCTATCCCATCCCCTGAAGCTCCTATATTCCAAACCAAACCCCAACTCCTTACACACCTAACTCCAAACATCCTCAGTACACAATTGTACACCCCCTCCTAACTCTGACTTAAGACCCTGAGAGCCAAATACCAGCACACAAAACACGTGGACACCCCTCTGGAACAAAAAACACACAGATTCCCAGATCCCCCACCCATGTCTGACCCACATGCCTGTCCTAAGGCTGTACACTCCACAAGCCCCCCCACCCCCATGGATACCTCCAAATGCCCACGCCCTTCCACAGTCAGGCCCAGCTGAAGGCGCTCACGCAGGCCCCCTTCTCTATTACCCAATCAGTGTCCCATAGGCCTGCCTGGCACCTGCTGGGCCTGGGGCAGAGGTGGAGGAGAAAGGCCCAGCCCTGCCTGCCCCTCAGGGTCCAGCCCGCCCGGGAGGGTGCCCAGTGGCCACTCCTTGGGAAAGGATACCCAGAGGCTAGGGGCTCCTACCGCCCCCCCGCAGCGCCCAGGTGTGCAGGGGTGGGTGGGCCGGCTGTACCTGCGGCTGCCCCGCCGCGGGGCTGGCTGGGAGGCCCGCGGTAGTTGGCGCCGAGCTCTGGCCGCGGTCCTCAGCGCTGCGCGCCTGGGCCACCCGCCCGCTCTCTCGCTGGGGCTGGGGCTCGTCTCGGCTGGGCTCGGCGGCTCTCTCCGCCCGCCTGCGGCTCTGATGTCAGTGGAGGAGGAGTCTGCGGCGGAGGGACCCGGGATTGGGAGGCGAGGCGCCGCTCTAAGGCTGGGAAGGGGACGGGTGGAGGCCAGCTCTCTAGTTCTGGTCAGAGATCTCCTGCTAGACGCTTCCCGCCCTTGGTCTTAAGCAGGGCTACATTTCACAGAGGGGACAACTGAGGCCCAGAGAGATGATTTTCAAATCAGCAGGTGGTCGGAAGCAAAGCAGGATTTGAACCCCGTCTGTCTGAAGCTAGAGACCGTCCAAACTCACCCTGTGGCCTGGAGGGTTCTCTTTCAGACCAGTTCTGCGACCTCCCTTAGGGCTCTGTCGTCCTTCGCCTCTCCCAATCCTCCTGTGCCCTGAGGGAAACAGGTCCTCGGAACTGCATGGGAGTCTGGTGGGGTACCGGGGAGTGAGGGAGTGGGAAAAGACCGGGCAAGACTAGGCAATGAAGAGAGTGAAGGCGGTGTAGGGTGGGGGCCCCACTTGACAGGTGGGAAGACTAAGGCCCAGGTTCCTCTGCAAGCTGGAGCCCAGGCTTCAGCCCGACACTTGCTCCTCAGAGCGGATGGTGGTGCCCAGAGGTATTGGGGGCAGAGGGAAGTGGGAAGGAGGAAGTTAAATCGGGATCCTAAAGGAAACAGGCCAAAAAGGACCGATATATCACGTGACTGGCCGGGCTCCAGGGTTTGATGGCTAGGGGCCAGGTTAGGGGAGGTGGGGGACAGAGCCCGCAACTAGGACAGCAGGCAGGCGGCCAAAGGTTGACTTGCACAAGGCCTTCCTTGGGAAGAAATTTGGTGCGGGTGGCAGAGGGAGCAACTCGCAGGAATTGGGGGCTGGACTGGGGGCAGCCAGTGGAGGTATGGTGCTTGGGACCCCACTCCACCTCCAAGGATCCCCAAGTGCCACTCCCTACTCCTGAATTCCTGCATTGTCCAGCTGCGGATGGGGAGAGAACAGTGCTTAGGCCCAACTCATTTCCCTTTTCTTTCTTTCTTTCTCTCTTTCCTTTTTTTCTTTTCTTTCCTTTTTTTTTTTTAAAGACAGGGTCTTGCTTTGTCACCCAGGCTGAAATGCAATGGCATGATCATGGCCCACTGCAACCTCAAATTCCTGGGCTCAAGTCATCCTCCTACCTCAGCCTCCCATGTAGATGGGACTACAGGTGCATGCCACCGCACCTGGCTAACTTTTTTATTTTTTGTAGAGATGGGAGGTCTCACCATATTGCCCAGGCTGGTCTCAAACTCCTGGGCTCAAGCAATCCTCCCCAATCAGCTTCCCAAAGTGCTGGAATTACAGGCATGAGCCACTGCACCTGGCCAATTTATTATGCACATTTTACAGATGAGAGAGGAAGATAGCTGAGGTTCCTAGAAAGGCTTTGGAGTCTAACTGATCTGATCAACCTTTGCCTCTCGGAACCTCAGTTCCTTACTCGGGAACATGGTAATATTGATGATTGACTCAGAGTTCTGAGAATTCTATGAGATAATGACATGAAGTGCCTAGAACACTATTCAAAACATGAGAGCTAGACTCAGTGTAAACTGAGGCTCAGAGACAGGACTTGATTTGGCCAGGGACGAGGGGTTAAGGGATCCCTCTTCCAAATCTCAGTATCTCAGACTCCGTAGTTCATGGAAAAATACATTTCCTGCTCAGGGCTGAGCCCCCACTCTCCCCTATACCTGCCAAGCATACCCACTGAGCTAGGGGTTCTTTTACCACAAATTCCTGTTCATCTTGATGACAACACCCCCTGGGTGATAAGATGACCTCTGTCCTTTTGAGGACTTGTACAACTTCTTCTT